GGTGTCTGAACAACAACTACAGGTGGGGATCTGCATCCCGAGCTTCCATCGGCCAGTTAGGAGAGACACTCCATCCAAGAGAAAAACAGGCTGGAGGCTTGAAGACACACTTCACCAGAGGGGAAATCCCCAGTGGTCAATAAGCCTAACAAAGATGCTCAAATTCATCATTGATAAATACAGGGAATGCGCATGGAGACGATAAGGAGAAGCGCTGTCAGACACATCAGACAGCTGAGATGGAAGGACAGTCTGTCAACAGCCAACATCAGCCAGAGCACCAGGAACACTACTGCTGATATGGCCCTACCCGCCTGGACACCTCCATGGTGGTACACACAGCGTCCCAGGTTACAGCAGTGACACCAAGAGACCGTGACGACACTGACCACCGGCCCAAACCCACAGGCACGGTGCAGGAACACAAAGTGGCAGTACCGTGGCACTGCAAGAAAGTTTGAAGAGCCAAATGGAACACTAAAGTGAGAAGCGAGCCGAGCTGTCAAACGACAAAGAAACACAGCGCACAAAAGTCCAGAGGCAGCCATATCCGAGGAGCGCCGAAGGCCTGGTGAGCTCTATTCCTTCACTGAGGTGGTGGGTGCACAGGTGCTATCGTTATTATCGTTATTACCCCTGTGCGAAGTGTATGTACACATTCACACTCGCTTAATAGTCGCTTAATAGTCACTCGCTTAATAGTCAATAAAACTATTTGTCATGGGCGATGCTGGCCACTCACTCACTCACCAAGGCTTCCTCGTAGGGCTTGTACTTCTCCAGCTGCTGCAGCGCCTTGTGGTAGCTCTGAACGACCGGTTCTGGGATCGGGTCTTCAGACCATTCTTCGTACTCTGCAAAGGTAGCCTCCATATCTATTGAAAGACAGATCCGGTCCCATGGGTCTTGCCACAGGGTTTTCAGCAACCCAAACACAGATGAACCCGAAGGTGCAAGGCTCCGCCCCACATCTGAGACCCGGAGGGCTCTTGCAGATCAAATCCCAAGCTCTTCACTGGGGCCACGCTCGGCCTCCAGTCTGCTTCAAAACACTGTCCCAGGCAAGCCCACCCACACCACAACACCAAGCCAGTGGTTCCTGGGTCCCAACACTTGCCCCACTTGAACTTGCTGGTCCTCAGCTTCCAGGAAGGACATACTATTAGGACACACTTTGCAGAGGAGGCAGTGGGAGGCCCCGGGGATGCAGTCATTGGTCTATACTAGCTAAGGGCAGAGCCAAGCTGTGAAGCCAGGTGGCCGGGCTTCCAGCTCCCGCTCCACTCATGCCATGCTGCCTCATAGGTGAGGTGACATCAACCAGCCACATCCAAGCCCAGAGAGGACTGAAGGGGCAGCCCCACTCTGCTCGAGAGAAGGCTCCACAGTGGGTCTCCTGCTCAGTAACAATTCCCCATGAAATGCAGGGTGCGTCGCTTTGCTTATCCCTGCCAGAGAACTTCTCCCACTCTCCAACCAGGTCTTACAGGGCGAGCTCTCAGCTGGGCT